CAAGACCGGCAGAAGAGCTATGCTGATAAACGTCAGAGAACGTTGGAGTTTGAGATCGGTGACGAGGTATTTCTGAGGGTATCACCTTGGAAAGGGATCTTCAGGTTCCTCAGCCGGGGTAAGCTTAACCCACGTTACATAGGTTCGTTCAAAATCCTTGAAAGGATTGGGGTTGTAGCTTACCGACTTCAGTTGACTCCAGAGTTAGAGAAGATTCATAATGTGTTTCATGTTTCTATGCTCAAGAAGTATGTGCAGGACCCGTCACATATTCTTGAGAAACCACAGGTGGAAATCCGAGAAGACCTGCACTATACGGTGCAGCCCGTGAAAATCATAGACCGACAGGTAAAGAAGCTAAGGAGCAAAGAGGTGCCGATGGTAAAAGTACTTTGGAAGAGTGATCGTGTCGAGGAGCAAACGTCGGAAGTGGAGACCCTAATGAGGGAACAATATCCATTTCTGTTTGATTAGACGCGTGGATTTCGGGGACGAAATCCCAAATAAGGGGGGTAGAACTTGTGACACCGCCCCCAAGTATTTGTACTTCATCAAATTATGTATTGAACCCTGAGAAATGTATAAAATTGTTTTTACGTGATTGTAAATTTTTATCATTTCTTTTACGTGAATAGTAAAATTCACGTGGGGCCCACACCAGAGGTGGGGGGCGCCAGATATTATCGGGACCTCATATTATATTAATCTTGGACTAGATAATATTTATATGGTGGTGGATATCCTAATTGGGCCATGGCAATGGCGCAGGGTTGACCGGTTGGTCAAACGGGGCCAAATTATCGGTATCGGCAAATTTATCAGATAGCAGCCCGAAAAGGGATTCTGGAGACTTCTAAATTAAAGTTGAGGAATGCATAATCATTCTAAGGTCCAATAAGGATTGGGAACAAGTGTTATATTTTATTTGACCCGATAAAATAAATTATAACTGAAACAGTCCGGAAAATACAATTTTCGGGACCGATTGTACATTCGGGTACACAAAGGGTTGACCTACCACATAAGTGGGGGACAACCCACGTTTTTAGGCTTTCAAATGAAGGAGGGAGCTGCATCATGGAGCTGGAATTGGTTGGGAAGTGATTGGGGGACAAATATGTAAGTTGAGGGGACCCTCCCCCCATATTATTTGGGGAATAAGCCAAAAGGGCTATCTCCCTCACCCCACAACTGATACATCTCGGCCAACCTACTCAAAGAGGAGAAAGAAGGTCTGCAAAACTTCATTGTTACCATCCATACACGCACCAAGAACAAAGGAGGAAGAAGGAGGGGAAAAGAGAAGAGAAAAGTTGGCTTTGGAGAGGAAAACTTGTGTTTAACAAGGTAATGACTCCATTAATCCCATTTATTGTTCTTCAATCCTATTATATGATTATTCAATCATATTTCACACTCTAGGATTGTTCTACACGTTTGGAAGTGTAGAATGAGGGGTTGGAAGGTGGTTCTAAGCCCAAGAATGGACTTAGAAGCCAAAGTGACCGGTTCGCCGGAAAATAACCTTTTGGAGGTTATTTGTATTACTATGGGTTTTATGATGATAAAACCTTGTTAGTAACTTGTCTAAGGTATTCGAGGAACTTTCACGGAGTTGAAAGGGTCGCCGGAGCTGTCGCCGGAGTTCGTTGAAGTTCGTCGGAGTTTCGCCGGAGCTAAATCGGGAAGGCTAGAACTTCATAAGCTTCATTAAGGTGAGAAGACGGCTTTATGCTTTATAACTTTTGCGTTAGGAATGAGATTACCTAAAGTAATCAAAAACATGTTTTATGGAATGATTAAGAATAATCAAGTGTTTACTTAGGCCATGATTTTGCATAAAACATAGTTGAAAAGCATGTTATGTAGGTTTGGTGATTAAAAATGTGATAACTTATTATGTGTGGTGTTCCAGGGATCCAAAATGGTATTTTTGGATCAAGGACGTCAAGAAGTATAAGTGTATAAAATTTCACGTTAATCGGACTTCGTTTGGGCGGTCAAACGAGCGTTGACCGCCAAGACGAAGGTGATACCCGACCGGGTATGGGTAAATACCCGACCGGGTTTTGATTAAAAATGGCTCCAGACGCCACTGCCACACTAGACCCGACCGGGTATGGGTATAGACCCGACCGGGTCTCAAGTAAAGTTGTCTCCAGGGGCTACTGCCTCACCCTACCCGACCGGGTAAGGTTGGATACCCGACCGGGTATTGGTTTATACTCAAAACGGGCAGTTTTGAGTAGGTTAACGTGGGTCGTTTGGGTGGGACCCGCCCACGTTGGATCCTAAGGATTGTTATATGACTATAGGGCTAGGCATTGTCCATAGTTAAAGGAATGAAAGGTTAGCCATATACAGGTTAGGATTTGGTAGAGATTAGACTGGGGATTGAGTGCCTTTGGACGGTAAATGATCCAGAATACTCCAGGTGGGGTCGAGTACCCTTGGACGGTAAATGATCCAGAATACTCCAGGTGGGGTCGAGTACCCTTGGACGGTAAATGATCCAGAATACTCCAGGTGGGGTCGAGTACCCTTGGACGGTAAATGATCCAGAATACTCCAGGTGGGGTCGAGTACCCTTGGACGGTAAATGATCCAGAATACTCCAGGTGGGGCCGAGTACCCTTGGACGGTAAATGATCTTAAATACTCCAGGATGGGTTGAGTGCCTTGGACGGTAAATGATCCTAAAACACTCGGTAGTATGAATCGAAGGTAGACTATAGCTTGTGAGCTAGGTAACCGGGAAAGGAGTGAGAAAAGTCAGGTAAGAACTTTATCTCTAAAAGACTCTTTAAGGTAAATGACCTACGGGTTGAGTATTTTACGAGTATATGTACAGTATGTATCATCGGGTGGATGAGAGACATCTATATATATATGTATCACCCTATTTTTGGGTCTCGTGTCTGAAACATTAGTTATTCTTCATATAGCCTGCTTGTCACTAGTACTTCTATGGAGTACTGACCCCACTGGGGGCCCTCACATTTTTCAGGTTGAGGCTAGAGTCCTACTACCTGCACCTTTGTCTAGGGTGATCATTCGAGGAGGAAGACGTGGTTCGTGCTTCCATTCGTATTTTTGAAATTTATAAACTGCTCATGGATTTTTGAACAATGTTTCCATTAAAACAGTTGGGGGCCTGTGTGCCCGTGTTTGCCACGTGTGGCTAAGTATCAAACATATTATTATTTCCGCATTTGTTTCATTATGATATTGATGTTGATTGTATGTGTTTACTAATCGGTTTGGCAATAGAATCAATCGGACGCCTTGTACAATTCAATATGGATGAACTGTTGTTGTTCTTATCGGGTTGTACGGCGGTTGTCTACGTGGTTCGGATGCGGTCCGGGGCTTGACAATTTGTCTATTCGTTGGAATAGTACCTATAAGTTAATTGGAGTTCTTTTTAGATATAAACAACATTTTCCTGCTTTTATGAAACAATATGATAACTATATTATAAACTCGGCTGAGATCGACACCTGTGAAAAAATTTGTAATGCTTTGATATATTTTAATAATGCAACTGAAACTTTTAGTCATGTTTATAAACCTACCTCAAACCAATTTATTCGTGAAGCTGTTAATCTCGCCGGTGCTTTTTCAAATTTTGAGAATGCTGATTATGTGAGTTATTTGGCTAGTTTTATGAAGGAAAAGTTTTTAAAATATTATTCACATATTCCGCATATTTATGGTATTGCATTTGTTTTCGATTCTCGTTTTAGACTTGGTTCTTTAGAAGAATGTTTGAATTATTATTATGCTTCTTTTTTGGTCCATTGTCAATGTATGAGGACAACCCAATTGATCCGAAAAAAGAATACAACGAGGTTAGTGATATATTTTATGCATTATTCAATGAGTTTCATGCACAATATGACAATGCACCCCCTCCCCGACACAAACATCATCTAAAGCACAATTAATGAGATTACTTTGTATTTAACATATGATGTTGATTTTGAAGAAGATGATGATTTTGACGTACTAAACTGGTGGAAGGGAAAAGAAAGAATGTTCCCGGTTTTAGCAAAGATGGCTAAGCAAGTGCTATCAATGCCGGTTTCAACGGTTGCCGTGGAACAAGAATTTAGTTCGGCCGGCAATGTCCTAACGCAAATCAGAACGAGGTTGAATGCAGAATCTTTTGAGATGCTTATATGCTACCACGATTGGTTGAAAGCAGCATGTAGAGCTCAAGAAATTGACATCATCTCATCCCAACACTTTATGGATGAATCTACAACTGAGGGTGGCTCTACCTATGCCGGAGATTCCGATTGAATGATTTATGATTGATTAGTATTTCATGTTTTAATTTTACCTTCAATTCTCAATTGTAGTTCCTCTTTAATTTTCAAATGTAATTCCTATTTCATTTCAAATAAATGCACTTGAAATTTGTTTTTAATACTTGTATAAAACTATAAAGTATAAAATATAAATTATAAAAACAAAAAAAAAACTTTAACCGGCCTGGCGGGTGGCCCGACCCGTGACCCGGGCGGGTGGCCCAGCCCGAACCCGTCCAACCCTCGGGCCAGTCCCGGGCCCATATGATTCAAACCAGCAGCCCGACCGGGTCTAGGCCCGGGCCCAACCCGGCCCGAGTCCATGACTACTACGACTAGCGTTCATTGATTGTCGGATTGGTTTTTACATGGGAATGATGGGATGGAGTCATTTCTTGGAAACTATCAACAACAATATCTGGTTGGCTAATAGAAGTGAGTATGAGCACCAAAACAAGGGGAAAACAAGTAACTAATTGAAATGGGGGTAAGCAACCAAGACTTGTAATGAAAGTATGAAACCAGCCCCAGTAAAACTAAACAAATTGTCATCTCATTTAGAAGTCTTAAAACTTGCATATTTAAAAAATGCCGTCCAAATTAGAACTCAACCAATATTCGAAAGAAATGTTTGTTTGACCAAAAGTACTCTCTGATAGACAAAACATTCTTTTTGGAACACGAGCCGGAAGGTATGCTTTAAAAAGGCAGGGTTCAACCAGATGCAAGTTTTTTATTTTAAAAAACCACACCTTTGGGACAAAATTCTTAATTAGAGAGTACTATAAAGAAAACAAGTTCGATTATATGTAAAACCGTCTTGAAATACTGTAACAAACAAACTAAAAGCCTACGGTTAACCATAAACTCACAAAATTTCTTGAGCGGATTAAAATAACCACTGCTGAAGTTGCTCCAAGGATTCAACACACCCTTCCCCCAGACAAAAAAAAGACATTTACAAATTCCACAACTCAATCTTGCAGAGTCTGAATCTCGCCCATCATGATCCTATTGCTAACCACATTGAATCCCAGTTCCGAAAGGCTGACTTTTTTCCCCTTTTTACCCTTCTTTCTGCCGCTCCCTTTCTCTGTCACTCCTTCAACAGTACCATCATCTGTAGGAGTCAAGTCTGCTGCAATGGCACTTCTTTCCCTACCAGTTACTGCCTTGTCATTTTTATCAGATGGAAAAGCAATCTCAAGAACATCGGCAGGCAAAAGATCTATGCAGCCAAGAAACTGGTTGATGAACTCATGATTGGGATCAAAGGAGCCCAGATTCTCAGTCAGAAGCATTTCAGCCTCAGATCTGGATTGCTTCAAACAACACTCCAGTATAGTTGTATCTGTGAGTACAGAAAAGAACTTAAATCTTATAAAAGGGCTTGCAACACGGTTTGTGGTAAAATGTTTGAAGCCTATGTATAAATGAAGGTGAATCATAAAATATATGAGCCTGTTTGGAAAGGTAATTTAGATGAAATTGCTGAATTATTTATGAAAACATCATTTTAATAGAGTAATTAAAAAAGGATAAATTAAAGGGAAAATTATCAAATAGGACCCCACACTATAGTCAAAAAAGTCAATTGAGTTCTCGTACTATGAAATCACCCGATCTAATCCCACAACTATAAAAACACTCAATTAAACTTTTTATCTGGTTGATTAATAATTTCGCCGGTAACCGCTGACCTGGACAACACGTGGCACTAATTTTTTTTCTTTTTCCTCCCCGGTAGCTTTCTTCCCCTGGTTCTCTGCAATCCGGCTCCCTATTATCCGGCGAGTTCATCCGCCATCTACAATGAGTTTGTCCGCCGTCTCAGGCAAAAGCTTAATCTAGGTTTTTTATAGTTGAACGATTTGATTGGGTGATTTAATAGTACAAGGACTCAATTGACTTTTTTAATATAGTACGGGGGACCTATTTGATAGTTTTCCCTAGAATAAAAGTCGGGGCAAAATTTCATTTCACTTCACTTCAGAAAAACGTAACCTCAGCATTGTTTTTATATTATAGACTAATAGATCAGCACAACCAAATAAGTTACATTAAAAGGATTAGTGTACCTAGGTTCACGGCCCCTCATGTGGACCAAGTTACTAAACAATAACATGTATCCTCAGATTAACATTCCAGTAAAACTTTTACCACTTAAAAAGATTACGTATAAGTGTCATCACTAGGTAAGCTTGGTCAAAATGTTGGAGCCCTGCATTACACAGCTACTAAGAAGTTGTTCATTTTGCATTGTTTTTTATATAATCTGGTCTTGATTTTTCTGATCTTATCTAAATTTACTGATCTAATTTGAATCTTTATGATCTATTCCGATATGAATCTTTTTGATCAGTGTTGAATCTTTTCTGATCAGATATTTAACTAATCGCGGCAATTGTTACTTATTCTATTGATATTAAAATTTAGTTTATTATTATTATTACTATTATCATTATTATTTGTTTTACTTGCTATGGTTAGTATAATTAAAGTAATATTGTAACAATAATTGTAGTATTAATAATAATAATAATATAATAATAATAATAATAATAACAACAACAACAACAATACTAAAATATGTGATTAACCAAAAGAGGATTTATTATGTTAACTGTTAGGATCAAGGGCTAGGGAGAATAATAATAAAAATATTAGAATAATATATAATTGTGATAGTGTACTAGAGGGTCCTGGGCCTGGTATTAGTAAGCCTTGGCTGGCCCATAAGGAAAAGATTATAAATAGGAGTGGGAGTAGAATAAAGGGGGAGGCAGAATTTCGAATAGGAACTGGGAAATTGGGAGTGTGAGGCCACTCGAAGAGTCTCAAACCTTTCGTTACTTTCTGTATTTCCGCACTAAACCTTCATTAATAAACTACTACGTACTACTTTCTACTTGGATTCTTCCGTTACTTATCATTGGTATCAAAGCATCAAAGATCGCTGGAGTAGAGGACTTTTACTTGTGTGCAGATGGAGAATAGCAATGGAAGAGTCGAAAGCCAGTTCACGAAGTTGGAAACGATGCTGGACGAGATGATTAATCGTCTACGTCAACAACGTCGCCGGCGAGGACGATCGAGAACGGTTAGACGCTGCCGGAATTCCAGAAACAGCTCAGCATCGTCGTTCATCATTGCTCCCAGTTCAGCTTCGTCGCGAACAGTATCTCCCAGTCAACAAGTTTCGTCGCAAATAGATCTCCCTTGTTCGCAGGTCTCTTCATAGGCTATCATCTCGCGTCAAAGTGTGACGCTATCAGAAGGAGACTCAAAATCGCTGTGAAATCCCTATGCGAACCCTAGTACCAATCTAGACAGAGGAGACACCATCAGTTCACAGACTTCATCATACGGTAGCAGCTTACTTCAAGGTACGATGCGACAGGAAGGAGAAGCCTCCAGTTTGCTGTTGCTGTCTGAGTCGCAGGAGTCTGGCAATCCACGGCAAACTCAATCTGAAGGTACGTTCATCTATGACGATGAAGGAAGAGAGGAGAAATCTTCTGTGGTGACTCAATCCTCGGAGTACCATAGAATATAAATCTGGTGATGATAAGATTGCTGGTCCAAACACTTGGGAGAGCTCTACAGGGACTGTCCGTATAGATGGCTTTAGCAAAGCTGGAGAAAATGCGGAGTATGTGGCGGCTGAAGTTCCGCTGGGTCCTGTTAGGGTAATCAAAGTTGTGGAAAAACTAGCAGGAAGTTGGGGTGATGTGAATGCATACCAGGTGAGAGGGGATACTGTTATTTGCTGGTGGACTGTGATCATTGTATCTCAAAAGTTTCACCTACTGAAGAAGTATCAACTCTGACTCTGGACTCAATGGCACTGACCAAGCTCCGGGAAGAGATTGATATGGAAAGAAACAGATCAAAGTGCGAGGGTCCAAGAAATGGAAAAGATGACGAAAAATGTCTGAAAGTTGATAAGAAAACAACAAGGTACTGGGAAGGAAGAGGTGCAAGGATGAAGGTGAACCTCAAGATCAAGGCTGTTTCATATCACCCACCTTGAGGACAAGGTGGTTGTCCAAGGGGGAGATATGTTGGGATCAAGGGCTAAGGAGAATAATAATAAGAATATTAGAATAATAATTGATTGTGATAGTGTACTAGAGGGTCCTGGGCCTGGTATTAGTTAGCCTTGGCTGGCCCATAAGGAAAAGATTATAAATAGGAGTGGGAGTAGAATGAAGGGGGAGGCAGAATTTGGAATAGGAACTGGGAAATTGGGAGTGTGAGGCCACTCGAAGAGTCTCAAACCTTTCATTACTTTCTGTATTTCCGCACTAGACCTTCATTCATAAACTACTACGTACTACTTTCTACTTGGATTCTTCCGTTACTTATCATTAACAAACCAATAAATTATAAATTGACCAAATAATAAATAAATATAATGATGAAAGAGTTATATGGATTACTAATAATAGTAATTGTAGTAGTAGTAATATTCTGATATGAATGTTTCTGATCTAGTTGTAACCAAATTCCGATCTAAATTAATCTGAAATTTTCAGGTCTGCTAAAATAAAAATCAAAATAAAACATAAATAATAAGTTTCAGATTAACAGAATGACTTCTAAATCAACAACAGATTATTGTACTCCACAATGATAGGATGTCACAGCGATGCATAAAAGATGAGCAAGAAACAAGAGCACACACTAATCTTTTAACGTACCTTTTGTTCCAATGAGCCTAGAGCACTCGCTCTCACACCACTCTCTGAAATCAATGGCTTCTACAATAATAAACTAAGAGTGAATTTCATTGTTATTTTTTCAGTCATAATATTCATTTCAAATCTCAGGCAAACAATTACCTGACTGCTTTGTTGCAGCTTTCTTTTTTCCTTTCATAGATGAGGTAGCTGGTGATGAAGAAACAGTATGCTCTACAGGCCTGCCACTAGATTTTTGCTTGCTCACCTGTCCTCCAGATATTCCTTTCACAGCAACGCTTTTGTTTCTCAAGCTCGCTTGCACTCCGAGAGCAGGGAAGTCTGACCTGCAGACATTTCAGAACAGTGGAAAACTTCAGGAAATTATAATACTACAGAGCATAAGAAATCATTCTCATGTACTATAACAACAAATTCTTGAACAGAGGCCAACTCTATCACAATAGTAGAAAGCTGATAACACCTGTGTATTTTTTTCTCCTTAAGTCTAGAATATTAGTTTACTTGCGCACTAGTAGACATATGTTATATGAATTCACATTGATTCTTACTCACTCCTTTCCAGGAAAAAGGGTGATGTTCGACTAAAATTCAACCTTTTTATTTTTAGTCAACTAAATCAATGTAGAAGCTTTTACAAGTTAAGAATCTTCCCTCATACACTACAATTAATTTACAAGATCATTTGGCATATGCGACTAATGCATCGTTACTTATTACATCAATAAAGTTCACTTTTGCGGTTTTAGTTTGATTTAAATATCAAAGTTGACAAAAAATCTAAATAAACAAGTGTTTTACTAAAACAATGCTGTGTGAAAATATAAGTTGTTCAACTTTCAGAGCCCCACCCCTCATAGAGTCAAAGTGAAATCTTGCTTTTATCAAATACCACTAAATATCTGTGGTCGTAAAAAATAAGTGTGAATATAAAAAATGGCAATGCTTTACCTAAATTGTAGATATCGGGGGGGGGGGGGGGGGGGGGGGGGGCACATAAAGATAAAGAAATTAGTCATACTGCTTTGGCTCTTGTTTGGGTTGATCTATCGGACCCCAGAAGAAATCATCTTCCACTGTGTTCTTCGTTTTAGAAGGAGGAGTACGTGAAGTCATAGATGCCGCCTTAGCTGGGAAGGAATCGGTAAACCCCTGTGAAGGACTACCCCCTCCGTTTGGTTGCTTTGGCAACATAGATTTCTGAGTTGTTGGCACCGGAATGTGCTTATGTCCAGAAGAACCTTTCCCTCCTTCCTGTTGCTTCAAAATCTCCCTAAGTGATGCAGGTTTTGGAGCACTTCCAGAGCCTGTCGACCATGCTGGAGCAGTAGAAGAATTTACAGACTCGCCCTTCCAAACCACAAAATCTCCCAATGAAGGACCAGACGGCACTGCAAATGATAACACTTCATTCCCTGCCTGTACTTGATTTGAAATCTTGACTTTCTCTATGGGGCTTCTTAATCCAACTATAGCTTCATTAGGTGAAATAGACCCAGAGGGCTTAGAAGCTCCAGAACCCTTTGCTTTTGCAGACTTCTTCCTATTCTTCTTCGTGTCTTTTGCTTCGATAAACGCGTCAGCATCAGCACTATCCTGGGTAGGTGTGATGTCAGCAGTACATTCACTTTGACTTGGATTGACTTCAGATCTTTCCTCCAATACATCATGTGACTTGCTTTCCTTACCTTTTTGTTTGAGAGAACTGTCAGATTGGCCTAAACTGTTAGTTGGAGTTGACAAGGTGATGGAATTGAAAGTGGTTGTTATATCAGTAGCAGCCCTCTCTGCTTCTGCTCTCCTTTGTTCTTCCTCCTGAATTTCAAGTAAAGACTTGGGTTTGAAACCGGGAGCAGGCTTCCATGCTCGAAAATCAGAAACTTTTTGGACGCCAATTGGTGGGACCACCACAAATTGGTCAGACTGGTTCTTTGACTCAATGCTTTGACCATCTCTGGTGGTGTCGTGTACATCGGAAGCAGCTGGTGTGTCTATAGAGATGTTTCTCTCCTGGATTTCTGGAACAGAATCTTTCACTATGCCGCTCGAATTAATAGAGGTGTCTGCTTCACCAACATGCTCTGATGATTTAAGCTGTTGCATCTTCTTGGCAGACTTTTGCTTATTCGGTTTCTTCTCTGAAGCCTTCTTAACTGCAAGCTGTTCAACGTTTTGAACTTCATCCACAGAAGATGTATGATCTGAATGTTGACCTTCCTCAACTCCCTTTATAGAAATAGTTTGTGAATGAAGATCCGATGCCGCAATCTCAGCCACTCCTCCAGTTTCTAACACTGTTGAACCCTTTGACTGCACACTACTAATAGAGTGGTCCTCCACATTGCCACCCCAAGTCTTTTGACTAATATCACCGAACAGTTGATGTTGCGGAGGTATAGAAGATGGTTCAGTTTGCATAACAGTGTCATCTTGGGAAGTAACTTGTTCGCTTTGCATGGCAGTGACATATTGTGAAGCCTGTTCATTTTGCATGGCAGTGGTCTGTGTTTGAGAGCCCATACTGGATGGTCTGAAATTAGTCTGCTCAGCCAAAAGCTGAATAAGCAACTGTTGTTGCTGCTGCTGGCGGATTAAATTTTGCTGATGTTCATGTTTCTGCTGCTGCTCAAGGAATAGCAGCTTATCAAGAGCTGAAATCTGTTGTGGTACTGGGGCCTGTTGTGTTTGAAGCTGCAACAGGTACTGTTGCTGAAGTAAGCTCAACAATTGGGGATCATGAGAAGGTAGTCCAGCAGGATTCAGCTTTTCTGGAGTGGACATACTACCGGAAGGATTTAATAAAATGTTCTGAGGAAGTGGCATTTGCTGCTGGATCCCAAATGCATGTTGGGAGTTGATATTTGGCCACTTGCTTGCTGTTCCACTGTTCACAGCTGTAGATGCATCTAGTAAACCTTGTAGAACAGACAAATCCACATTATGATGACTATAAGGGTTTGTTAAAGGCCTCTGCATCTCAAGTTGCATCTTCTTTGCCAATAGGTACGCATTGCTTCCAATTTCACCACCCAAAGAAGGCATGAGACTGGTACTACCAAAAAAAGGCGGCATACCTGTTTAATTGATCAAAATAATAACAACTTTATTATATCTTAGAAATGGAAAAACATTAAAACGACAACTGAAAGTTATTGCTGATGGACAAAAAATGCAAAATATAATTAGACATGTCTTCCATTGATGACTAGAAACTTACTATTTGTTTCAGCTGACAAATATCTTTGCTCATTCTTCAGCACATCAATCTCAGCTGAACCAGAATGTAGCTTTGATAAGCAATTCATATTCAGCCCTGAAGTTGAAGCATCTGCACTGGGCTTTGCAGTACCGAATCCAGGGGGAGGCCTAACCTTGGCTCGTAAATGAGGCATGACATCACCAAGTACGGCAAACGGGGTATCAGGTGGCACACCCGCTAGTCGGACAAGCAAATCAATGCCGAAGTATCCAGCCTCGAACCATCCAATGATATCACTCCCAGAAAAAGGCCCCTGAATTTCGCCGCGTGGGTCTTTGTAATAGAGAATTAAGCTTTCTGGAGATGTCTGTGAAGGCCCAAACTGGGATTTCACCCCATCATTTTGAGCATAAGGTGATCCTACTCCACTTCTTTCCCAGGCACTATTCAAATTCGTCTGTGTCTTTGACCAGTCAATGTCAGATTCCTTATGAAGAACAGGAGAATGTCTTTGCAAAGTCTCACTAACACTATGAAAACTTCCTTCTCTGGAAGCTGCATAAAGGAGAACTGATACATTAAAGTATTAAACCTCCTAGGCATCAACATTAACGATCATGCAAAGGGTAATGAAGTTTAACCCACTGTTTGGTTGAGGGATTTCAAAGGGGAGGGTTAATATTAATTGTATTGTTTACGTTTGCATTTAGATGCTCATAAAGAAAGTGAAGATGAAAAATTATATAGAAGCTCATGATTTAACTAAATGTATAGTTATTTTCTATTCTAAGACAAGCTAATAGAGATAAATTAGTAAAAAAATCCACCTTTTAAAAAACAACCAACATGGCCCAAAAAACTATACAAAACATACCACCACCATCTAACTTATGATCAGAAAATCTCTCATAATCCTGCATTCTCTGACTGGGGCCATAAGTGTTTGCCCGCTTTTCAATGGAGACTGTTTCGGAATGATTCAAATAACCACCACCCATGTTTCCACCATCCATTTCCTCTCTAGAGTCATTAAATGGGTGGCGTAAATCATCTCTGCTGCCTGGTCATGGAAATCAAGAATAGTGTGTGCCATTAAATGAAAAAGAAAATCAACAAATCTGTATTACAAGTTAGTGTCAGCTTGGATGATCACGGGGAAAAACAAGCTGTCACAACTCAGAGGAATCAAATACCTTGTTTATTTCTTCTTGACTGCAGAGGTTCGGATGAATTTCGTCCAACCGGCCCATCTTTAGTGTGTTGTGGCTCTCCACTACCAGTGATATCCCCTTTGTCAATTTCCTTCAAGATGGCCTGCCATGAAAAAAAGTATATTAGACATCATTTAAACTAAACTAGACACCAATACTTTCACAAAGAATGTTCAACCATAGGTAGGATTGTACGATATTTTTACTTCATAAGATATCCAAGCTAAAAAAGAAATGGAAACACAGTTTCACTCATGCAGAGACTACAGAATACAGATATCAACTGAATCCCTCATTTAAATACCATTTTGTCGGAAAACTAAAGCAAAATGTATTTACATTAAGTTAAATAATAAAATAAAAAATTCCATGGCACACAATAAGCGAAAAACAAAAACTCAGGTTACCAATTCTTCAGGACCGGGTGCACAAAATGCCAGAGGTTCATGTGGCTCTTCTTCTATAACAGAAGGGATTGGAAAAATGCCATCTAAAAACTTGGCAGAGGTCATGGCATCAGCACCCTTGTATACATCAAGCAATTTGAATTTGTTATACTTCAAAGGGGAGGTTGCCAGATTCCCACTTTCATCTTTCTCTGATTGGAAATGTGTGGGAATGTTATTCACAGAGTCCATAGCAGAAGGAAAGCGTCTGCGCCCAATATGAGAAGTTGGAGGACCACTTTCTTCACGATCACGACCTTGCAGGACCGGCTTGCTTGCCTTCCAGGCTTGATGATGCTGAGGTGGTTCTGCCCTACCCCGACTTTGGGACAAACTAGATCTCCAAGGACGATAGGTGTCCACTTCCCTATCGTCCTTAGATGACCCTTTTTCAGTTGCCACATCAACATCTGCCTCCTTGTTCCCTGGGCCCCAGCGTGTGTTCCACTTGCTTTCTCGACGCTGGTCATGATTGATTTCCCTGTTTCCCAAATCAGTCCATCGTTCTGTGGTGGGATGCCGTGTTTCTCCATATGACCTTCCGGATGGATCAGCCCACCGATCTACCTTCCTATTGTCACCCAAACGGTCCCTACGAAATGAAGAACCAGTATCCCTTTCTTCTTCACGCCAGTTGTCCCGACGTGCAGTATCCATATCCATAACAGATGGCCTGAAAACATTTTTTTTCTTTTGGTGATCATGCACTTCCTCAACTGGATGCAGGCTAGGATGGTTCTCCTGCATTTATATTCACATCAAAGGAGCACAGCATTCTAATTGTTCATCAACTAATGCTCACAAAACAGAAAACAGAATTTAAAAGTACTTTTAAAAAGAGCTAGAGAAGATAAAGTGGAAATTAATGCTTAAGGTAGTAAATACTAAATCACACACCTCAGTTGCTGTCCCAGCCTTACTTTCCCCTGGCTTAGGAAGGAGCCATTGTGGTGACAGTGGAATGGGATTGGGGGATTCTTGGACATCTACATAAATCAGAGATATGAAACAAGTCACTATAAAACTATTCTTATAAAAAGCTATGAGCATATATTGTTGAATACTCAACTTATACAAACTAAAAAATGTATGCTCAGAAAATCAAGCGATGTTTTCATTTATAGGCATTTTGTGAACGAGTCAACTGTCTAAATCGTGCAATCTTGAAGGCCATGAAGATTTTAATGAAAAATATGATGTTGATTAATAATTTTTCCAGTTGGAGCCACAAGAAAACTGCTAAACTAAGAATGGGATTTTTATGATTCAAGCATTCTGCACTGTATTACTTAAAGAGAAAAATATAAAAGTTGAATACTATACAGAATATTTCCTGGCTGATATTCCCAACATGGAAAGAAAATGGAAAACAGAACCCCTGACAAGTATTACTCTTTCTTACTATAACAAATTACAATAAATTCTTTTCTGGGGGAGTTAAATGCCAAAAACATGTAACATATGTTCGATCTAAATCTAAAATGTAAACTCAAAGACAATCAAAGAAATACATTTAAAAAAACAATTGCCACCCAACTTGTTTTGCCAGAAAAGCAAGTAGTTGAAAGGAGCTAATATTCTTAGTTCTTGATAGAAAGAGCCGGAAAAAGTTCCCGTAAAAGAATTCTGACGTGGGAAAAATCCAAAATTGAAATTCTTAAGTTCCACATACAAAAATGTCATGGGACATCCAAAATCGAGTATGCGAGTAAATAGGAAAGAGCTGTGAAATGCAGAAACACATTGCTTTCCTCTTTCACATAAGGAGTGTTTGTTTTCAAGAAATTGGATAAAGGAAAACAGGTTTGCAGCGCAAGGAAAACCCTAAACCCCAAACCATGGTGCAAGTTATTTGAACTGCGGTCTAAGATTTTAGAGATAATTTAAGTAGCAACAGGAAATGATAATGAAAACTAAAAGATTATAAATGACAGATGAAGAAGGCGACTGAGCTGAATGTAGAAATGCATTACCCTTGGGGGTGAGACTTTGGACGGAATCTGAATCGGTCTTGTCAGCCATTGATGATCACAGAGGTGGGGAGACGAGTGCTGGTATATAATACACTTAATTTGGCAACTGCTCGAGTGAACGGAAAAAATGGGCAAAGGACTGAGAGACGCTTGGGGATTTAGGGCTAGAGCAAAACGAGATAATAATCAAAATCCGGCGCATTTTAGCGTTCATCACTAATGCGCCCACGTTAGCGCTAGCCCATCTTTATTGCCTTGGGTTTCGATGTATGCTTTTTTCTTTTTCGCGGTTTCGATGTATGCTTGTGTACCCGTTTTGGGTACCCGATTTTAAATGAGTTGTTTCATTTAAATGAATTGTTCCATTGAAACCATAAATAATATGGGTACAAATGGTACCTTAAAATTGGGATTTTCAAATTGTTTTAATACTATTTCGAATAATATCTCTAATTAGGTTCTTTTTCATTCAACATTAACTACATTTTTAAGTAATATACAAAGCAATTACTTCGTCCGGTATATGATATTAATAAGAGAGAGTGGCAAGCATATCAATAAATGGTGGTTTATGTTGTTGATATTGAATTGATAGAGTAACAAAAAAATAAGAATGATTTAGAATCACACAAATTTAACTAAATTTGGCATGAGAAATCTTATTGAAAGAGACCGAAAAGGAAAATTGGGATAATCTTAGTAAGACGAAGGAAGTACGGAGTGGTATTTTGTAACATTGTTAGTTACTATGTAAATAAGTGTAAAGCAAAAACAAAGTCTATTCTAATCTATTATATCTATTATAATATAAAAGCAAAAACAATTTGAGAAACAGTGTTCCCGCTTAGAAATGTCAACTTCAATCTATTATTTGTATACTAGCTAGAAGGAAAAAAATACAAAAGAATTATAGTTAATGAGAGATATCCAATTCAGCCTTTTGCGAGGTTGTAAATTTTTCTTATTACTTTTGCGTGAATAGTGAATTGCACGTAGGGTCCACATCGGGAGCGGGGACCAGCTTATATTTTCGGGACCACATATTATATTCATCTTGATCTAGATAATATGTACATGGTGGTGGATATACTAGTTGGGCCATGGAAAGGGCTTAAGGTTGACTGGTTGGTCAAACGAGGCCCAATTACCGGTATTGGTAATTTATCGGATAACAGTTCGAAATGGATTTCAGAGACTTCTAAATTAAAGTTGGCGAATGTATATTCATTCTAAAGGTCCATAGTGATTGAGAATGTGTGACATGTTTTATTTGGCTCGATAAAATAAAATATAATTAAAACAATTTGATAAATACAACTTTTGAGACCGATTGTACACATCGGGACATAATGGGATGACCTCCCACATGAGTGGGGGCCGCCCCACGTTTTTATATCCCAAAGTTGACAATTTGGGGGTTGCACAACATGGATTGAGAGTTGGCATTGTTTGAGAATGATGGGTGGGTGAGAAGTGACCAAAGGTGGCCCTCCCCCTCACTCATTTGCCTATTGAGACAAAGAGGAGTACTCTCACCCCCTCATCCTTTCCTTGTGCGGCCAAGAGACTTCGAGCAAGAGGAAAACTCCCACAAAATATTAGGGCATGTTTAGTAACGGAGATATTTTCTTGTTTTCTACTTATGTTTTTCGTTTTCCAATTTTCTGTTTTTATTTTTCAGTTTTCTCTCTCTAGTTTTCTGTTTCTATTTTCTAGTTTTTCATTTTCAAATCCGAAAACATGTTAATAAATTTTTTCACCCAGTTCTGTGATCATCCAGAAGACTGACACGTTTACTTCATGGGTTACTAAATGGTGCTTATTAAGACTCGCGTTAATAAGCGAAGCATAAAATAAGCAATGTTATAAGATCATGTTTACTTCAAAAGGTTTAAAACACCGTTTAACATTAAAATGTCTAAAATAACCCTATACATATTGTTGGTCCAAAATAGGACGCTCGTAGGCTTTTAGGAAAGATACGTACGACACTCAAGCAGGAATCAAGAAAGTAATATGAATAAGGAAAGAAGCTAAAAGTGTTTAGTTGCCAGAAATAGCATATCGAAATTGTCCCCCCAAATCTGAATTACAACCCGCCTTTTATAGGCGTATACAAATCGTAACAGTTACCGATAATAATGACTAATTAATTACAACATTAATACGGAATTAAATACATAATTAATAGCGCATTAATTGCTCGATCGTTACTCTTCCGGGCTAGGAGGTTGGTCGGACTGGCAGGCTCCCCGCCGGGCTGACAGGCAGGCTCCCCGTCGGGCTGGCAGGCTCCAGGTTATGGACTTGGATCCATGGATCCAAGTTCGGGGCTTGGGCTGATTAGGCTCTGGGCCTAGTCCCATTACTCCATCACGAGTCCCCCACTCCCTTAGTCGAGTAGTAGACTCGGCTAAGAGGGAGTAGTCCAAATCAGTTGCTCTTCTCCGAGACTATAAAATCTCCGCCCTTATCCATGTTAGGGAGATGCCTCATTAAAAACCTTCATTAGGAAAAAACCCAATGGGAAAAAAATCTAATGAAGGGAAAAAGAGTACATCTGACGACCCCAAGATGAAACAAGAGGTGAGATCCTCAGCCTTTATTTCAATGGTCGCCATCTACAAATAGGATGGCTAGAAATGTTCTTCTCGTCGAGCTCAGACTCGTCAGGTTCGTCATTTGCTTCCTTGAAGACGGTAAGACCCTCAGTCCCCCATTTCATTCAGTCGTACCTACACATAAAAGAAACTAATGTAGAATAAAGCATCTGGCCTGGTGTCGAACCACGACTCAGTGTTTAAGTGAATCAGACACACTACTTATAAAGAGTGACATCAAGTTCTCAAGTTAGGCCTCAACCCAGTCTCCAAAAGAAAGATCGAATCCGCGAGTAAGTGAGTCGGACTCCTCACTCGAACGGATAATCCAACCCCAAAGAACTATAGTATATCAATCTTTTTCGAGAAATGTGAATGTCAATTATGTGTCAAAATTGCTCAGAAGAGCATGGCTCTAGGCCCCTAACAAGAGTTTAACTCGCCGCCCGAGGTTAGTAGTTCGAACCCGCAAGTAAAAACTTTTGAACGGATGACTCGTCCCCCGAGGTCGGACTGTGATGCACTAGGAAAGGGTAAGAGCACGCAAGAACTCGTATGAAGTCAAGAGTGTGCGGTATTAACATTTATATTGGAGCTTATTAATCACCACACCCATATGACATGACTCGATGGCGCGAGTGTGTGTGCTCGGCCAATGTACGAGTGTGTGTGCTCGTCCGACGTACTCGAGTGATCAGATTTCATAAGTCCGTTGTTCAATGTTAAAATTACACACACTTAATGTTGGTCCCGTTTATAATGGGAACAGTCTAGGGGGGTGAATAGACTGATCAGGATTTTTCAAACCTTTCTCTAAGTCACTACTGACTTATCAGAGATGGTCGAATTCTAGTGACAGAGAAGGTCAAGTTCTGATGGCAGAACTGGACCTGGCAGCGGATTGGTTTCTGTCCGGGTAGCCTCATGAGACACTAAGGCAAATGCCTTTTTGATAACTCTCAAGGGAGATCTGCTGAACACAGATTCCAACCTATTGAGTTAATCGGTCAAAGTCTTAAATGCAGAAATAAATGCGTAAAGTAAATGACACCGGGGATTTTTATAGTGGTTCAAGGAACAACGTGTTCCTCTAGTCCACTGTTCCACTAAGCTTGCAAAAACAACAGTTTACAACGTTTTAGTCCCTAGAACTTAAGAAGCACTCCACGTCTTCTTCAAGCCTAGTTGCCACCCGGAATGCAGTCCTGCTCCCTGATGGCTGGTCTCGTTTCACTAAGTCTCTTGGAAGTATCCCCACTGCACTTACTCCAGTTAGTTTGAGTCGTCCCTTCTTTTTCAAGAAGTGTTTGATTCAAGATCAGTTTTCTCCAACGTTGCTTCTTCACAAGAGATATGTAGGTGAGGCTTTTGAAGTGTTGAAGAAGTGTAGGAACTTTGCTCCTTGTTGGATGAGAGGATAGGAGTTGATATCTTTCCAACGTAAGCTTTTCTTGTTAAAGTGAATGAATTTGAAAACTCAAGAAAGCTTGTATGCTGAAGTGTAGAGCAGAGGATTAACAAGGTTATGGAGCAAAAGTTATCATGTAGTTCTTTGAATTGTATCTTATATACTGGGAGCAGTCTTCCCGTTAGAGTGTAGGAGACAGCTTCATTAAATGCTTGTACTGTTGATTTGACCGGTTGAACCTTCGACTTGCTATTTTGGGGGCGTGAAGATACCTGCATGATCAATCATCAGCTTTAAATATATCTTCGTACGTACATCATTAATTGAGCATTTAATGCGTGTACAGTACCATGTTTCCGTCGAATGGCTCCTAGCCGTTAGGGAATTTCCCGTTAGTTTCACGGCCGTTGGTAAGTGCCTTCGAATTCTGCTAAGTGTTGGTCCCGTTTGTAATGGGAACAGTCTAGAGGGGGGGTGAATAAACTGTTCAGAAATTTAAACTTTTCTCCAAGTCAAGTCTGACTTATCAGAGATGGTCGAAATCTGGTGACAGAGATGGTCAAGTTCTGATGGCAGAACTAGACCAGGCAGCGGATAAGTTTCTGTCCGGGTAGCCTCTAGAAGAAAGTTAAGGCAAAGTGCCTTTCTGATAACTCTGAAGGAAGATCTGTTGGACACAGAGTCCAACCTTAAGAGTTAGTCAGTAGGATCTTAAGTGCTGTAATTAAAAGCTTAAAGTAAATGACACCGGGTTTTTATAGTGGTTCAAGGAACAACTTGTTCCTCTAGTCCACTGTTCCACTAAGCTTGCAAAAACAACAGTTTACAACGCCTTAGTCCCTAGAGCTTAAGAAGCACTCATCGTCTTCTTCAAGTCTAGTTGCCACCCGGGATGCAGTCCAGCTTCCTGATGGCTGGTCTCGTTTCACTGAGTTTCTTGAAGTATCCCCACTTCACTCACTCCAGCTAGTTTGAGACGTCCCTTCTTTTTCAAGAAGTGTTTGATATAGAATCAGTTTTCTCCAACGTTGCTTCTTCACAAAAGATGAGTATATGAAGCTCTCGAAGTGTTGAAGAACTGAGTAACTTTGCCTTTTGCTAGTTGGATGAAGGATAGGAAAGTTTATCTTCCAACTGTGGCCTTTTCTTGTTAGGAATGGAGTTTGAATCTCAAGAAGGCTTTTAGTAAGTTCATTCGGCAGATATTGTGGCAAAGTTTTTTTCTTAGTTCTTCAGAGTGTATCTTATATACTGGGAGCAGTCTTCCCGTTGGAGTGTAGA